CGTTCATACGTACATACATACATACAAATCAGATGTCCAGTGTAGCAATACAGCGATGCCTCTCATGGTGATGACAAAAATCGTGCTTGACAAATTATGACGACGATTATGACGGTGCCTTTGATGCTGGCTACGTCTACATGTAGAATGTGATTGCTGTAATACTGTTGAGTTTGCAGCGGTGCTGGAACTTTCTGGTGCAGTTGCGGATGTCGTCGTCGTCGCAGCAATACCATGATCAAAGTCGCATTTCGGTTTGTTTGATTCATGTGCTAACGTTGGATGTTCATGCCGATGCTGATGTTGATGTGTTCGTTGATGTTGAAGGTTAGCAAATCTTGTGCCAGGCAGAGCTGCGCGCAAGACGCGAGGCAGCTCTGAAAGTGCTGCAGGCCGACTGTTGGCGCTGCGCCCACTGCACACACAAAGCCCTACGTCCATCGCCTTGCACGAGAACATGATCCGAAAGGGGCCATTTCTGGGTATCGGGGGGTGGAGGGTTGGAAAGCGCGAATGGTTCATAGATAATGTTTCTGGGCTGGAGGTAGGGATGATAGACATGAAACACCGAAGTCTAAACAGCATATTTCATTTCAGGACATAATTTGGGAGCCTGACTTTTCCGGATGTGCACTGTGCAGCTATCCGAATAGTCCAAGTCTGGAAGCACAAATACATAGTGGGTATCTGTATATACTGTTTTGGTACTTACACACTCTGCGGGCTAATGCTTCAGGCTCTGCAATCGCAGGGCCAAGACACTCCTCGGGTTGCGACGCGAGCGCCTTTAAAACAGGAGCACTCAACCGCCAGGAACGAGAAGAAGAGCGACAAAAAAAGAAGCAGGACCGGGATGCCAAAGGCAAATTAATTCAATGTAGGGCCAGCGTTTCTCAACGAGGTTCCTACATTAGGTTCCTACATGTGCGTCCAGGGTTTTAGGTTGGTTGAACGAGGGCTTCAGGATTTTATGGTCGTATGGTGTAGGGCTAACGGCAACAATACTTCGAGCTCGTTGGTTGATGTTTGGAATGTTCTGAAGGTGTCGGTCGTCAATCATACTTATGCCAGGAAACCCTAACCCTAAACCCTAA